CAATCAACACATGTTCGGGAGCGATTCATTTTTAAATAAGTGTTGTAGTTATCAGTTAAGATAAGGAGTAATTTCAAACTAGTCATTTTAACAATATGACTAGTAGTGCATAAAGGTTTCTTTCCATGTATGTTACACTTGCAAGCTTAGAAAAAAAGGAAGGGCACAAACTTTCTTGATTTCTCTCAGATAATGACAAATTGGACTACTTTTGGGCTTAACTCTTGTTCTAAACATAAATCTTCAAAGGCTAAAAAATCTTTAAATGCTAAAAATCCAACACTAACCTTCCAGAAGCTCGCAACATGTGACCGTTTCGAAATCAGTTGAGTAGAGCTTTCAGCAACTTTACGTCAACTGGCAAAGCCTTCCAACTGTTAACACTGTAACTGTGACCATAGGCTTTTTCTCCACGGTACTTCGCTCAGGATAGGGTATTTTGATTGATGACTTCGGTGAATCAGAAGATGCAAAAGCTAAAATCTTGAGTGACGCTCGATTGGACACAGAGAAAGACTCACCATTACATTGCTCAAACCGTACAGTCGAGAAGAGCTTTGAGCAACTTTACGACAGTGATAAAGCCTTCCAGCAATCAACACTTTAAACTGTGACCACCAGCTTTTTCTCCATTCTATTCCACTCAGGATAGGCTATTTTGTTTGACAATCTCGGTAAATCAGAAGCTACCACAGCCAACCCTTTGAGCGGACACTCGTTTTGAAACAGCGAAAGACTCGCCATGACAGGACAGTTGGGTAGAACTTTCAGCAACTTTACGTCCAGTGATAACGCCTTCAAGCAGTTGAAACTTTAAACTATGACCACCTGCGTTTTGCCCAATCCATTCCGCTCAGGATAGGCAATTTTGATTGATGACTTCCATGAACCAGAAGCCGCAAAAGCCAAACTCTTGGTGACGCTCGATTACAAAGAGCAAAAGACTCGCCATGACATCCCTCAAAACCATGCAGTTGAGTAGAAGTTTTTGCAACTTTACGGGGCGTGATACAGCCTTCCAGCGGTGAACACTTTAAACTGTGGCCATCAGCGTTTTTTCCATTCTTTTCCGCTCAGGAAATTATATTTTGTTTGATGCCTTCTCTAAATCAGAGGCCGCAAAAGCCGCAAAACGTTAACGACACTCGTTTTAAAACATCTTAAGACTCGCCATGACATTCCCCGCAGCTGCATGATATTTATCGTTAAAATAATACTAAAACTTCTTTGTTTGGTCATGAAATTTGCTTGAAAGGCCGGCTAGATACCTTCTCAAGATTCTCGGCATTCAAGATACATAATTCCGTTAGCCTGTGGGTTAAAATAACGAGAAAACCAAATGACATCGGGCGTCCATCTTTGTGCTTCGCGCGAAAACAGAGCAGCAACTCTGCAACCGGATGTGATGTCATAAATCGGTGGATCATAGGTACACGAAACAAGTACCGGGCGCTATTGGAGTCGTGGGCCCCCCCTGGACTAAACAAACCATCTCCGCAAAACAAAATCAAAATATCAAAGAAGCGTTGACCGGAGCGTCGTCGATCTTAAATATTTGACGGGAAAACAGAGAAATTGTATTGAAGCCTAAACAGGAAAAGGCCATTTACAGTGGGTGTTACGAAAACTAAGACCCTCGAAAACGAAGACCTAAGACCTAAGACCCGTCTTAGTTTTCGAGATTACGAAAACTAAGACCCCCTAAAATCGAATCCGTCGAAATATAAAGTCAAATTGTAACCGAAATAGGTCTGATCTGTCAAATTATATCATGTTCGATCCTTTCCACCGAGTTTTAGGTCAAATTTAACGGTAAATTTAGGGGTCTTAGTTTTCGTAATTACGAAAACTAAGACCCCTCTTAGTTTTCGTAATTACGAAAACTAAGACCCCCACCAAAACAATCTCTAAAGTTTCTACAAAGTCGAATTACGACCGTTTGAAGACTATAATCCGTAAGACAAACAAAAATTACTATCACACACGTGCTGATCTACGATCCGCTAACAATTTGAAGACTCGCTTAAAAAAGAGGACCAAAGCGATAGACTTCCTACAGATCTATTGTACACTGAAAATATGCCTTACCCCTGTTGGTCTTTAATTTTGTTGTTTATCCTTTAAATCATGAAATTGGCTTTCTACTGGAGATGGATGTTTTTCTTCGTGTCTCTGCGATCGAGATTGCGTTACCTGTAACTATCACCTGAGGGGGTTTGTGTCCACCGCTTGTCGTGGACAAGCGGGGAGCGCGGGGAGGGGAGCGGGGGAGGGAATTGCTAGTCTCGTGTGGTCACAAAACCTCTCGCGTGAGTCGATGTTATTTTTTATTTGCCCGTTAAAAACCAAGGATACCGCGGGTAGGGGGCGGGTACAAAGGGGTACTCGGGTCAGCTTAGGAAGATGAAATTTTCGGAAAAGGGACATTTTCGATCGAGGAGATCCCGATCGAACACGCCGCCACGAGCAAGAATTCATGTGATCAATTTTCCCGCTGAAAATTATTACCCCGGGAATCCTGACCTCTGGCAACCTACTGTCACGCAATCTTCACTTTGTATTGATTGTTTGTTTATTTTATTGTTCTGAAATTAGAACTCCAATTCTCGAGACGATGCTTTGTTAGTACAGGAAATTCATTCACTCATTCGTTTTTCTTTTATTATTTCATGAGTGATTTTAGCGATTATCCCTCACAGACTATTTCTCCTTACCCCCCCCCCACCCCTACCCCTCAACTACCTTTGCATTGTAACCCGGTGATCTCCGGGGTGGCAACGATAAAAACAAGCGCTAGAAAAACGCAATGTAGCATATTCTCCTTTTTTCGCCCTTTTTATAAAACCACTTTTCTATCTATGACCTGGCCAGAAAAGAAAAAAAAACCGTATTTTTGTGCGATATTTAACCGATAACGCCGATGACCACTCAGCGATCAGGCATTCAGGTCGCAGCGACATGTCAGCCCGCAACAAAGACAAAAATCCATCTCCAGGAAAACCAATCTTATGACTTTAAGGATAAACAACCAAAATTATGGAGGTAAGGTATATTTTCAGTGTACAATTATACGTAGGTAGTGTATAGCTTTCATCCTCTTCTTAAAGCCACAATATAGAAATACGAGCTCCCCTAAAAACGCCTGCGTGGGAGGCTACAATATTGATAATGTATGTCTGCAAATTGTGAGGAGAAGCGGATCGTCTAGCACGCGTGTGATAGTAATTTTTGTTTGTCTTACGGATTATAGTCTTCAAACGGTCGTAATTCGACTTTGTAGAAACTTTAGAGATTGTTTTGGTGGGGGTCTTAGTTTTCGTAATTACGAAAACTAAGACCCCAAAATTTACCGTTAAATTTGACCTAAAACTCGGTGGAAAGGATCGAACATGATATAATTTGACAGATCAGACCTATTTCGGTTACAATTTGACTTTATATTTCGACGGATTCGATTTTAGGGGGTCTTAGTTTTCGTAATCTCGAAAACTAAGACGGGTCTTAGGTCTTAGGTCTTCGTTTTCGAGGGTCTTAGTTTTCGTAACACCCATTTACAGTTTTCTTCATAGGAGAGATGTCATAGAAATTTTGTCAACAGGTTTTGGCAAGAGCATGATCTTTACTGTCTTTGCTAAGGTCAAAGAAGAAATATCCTCATCGAAAACCTGTATGATCACAACTTCCTCTCTAAAAAGTACTATAGACGACCAGATATCGGAAATGTTGTCGCTAAGCTGTACAGCAATGGACCTTATGATTATTATGAAAGAAACAGTAAATTTGCTTCGAGAAAGTCCACCTCAATTTTCTCTATTACTCGGCGCACTACATCGAACGGTGTCCGCGATCGTGGTCGATGAATCGCATACAGTAGAAGAAAGACGCACAGCATAATTCTCCATACTTGGTGTAGCTTAAATTTAAGCTACAACTCAAATCTGAAGATCGCGCTATACGTAAAAATACAACACCTTGCAAGCAACACTTAGAAAGCCGGGCCCAGCGTCAAAACATTCACGGACAAAGAAACTACAAACCAAGGCTCCTTGGTTTGTAGTTACCCAGATTCAGGCATTTTAGTCGGAAAAGACCAGAGAAGCTAAAAAATTTATTTAGACGTAATAAATAGCTTTAGGCTTTACGAGTGATCAAAGAAATTTATTTAGTAATTTACAACTGCATCTGAGATGAACAAATTCTAATCAGCAACACACACAGAAAGATTAACCACAGGAAATAATTACTCAATATGGATGAAACAAACCAGCTTCATGACCTCTAAATAAATGTAAGACTTAGTGCAGCAAAAAGAGGATCTGCTCAGTCAAGTTTAGAACGCAGTGTAGTCACCTATGCGCGAGATAGCAACAAAGAAAAAACGTGTGTTTGTTCAAGCAAACTCCAATTCCGGCCAAGGTCACGTTTTACATTATATATTGAGCTTTTGTGTCGTGTTTAGGCTGTCAACACTTTATTTCTGATTGGCTGGGAAAACTGAAACCAAACAAGTTGTCAACGGGATGTCAAAATGAGTCGAAGGAGGCGGCAGTTGAAAAGGCCACGAATCCGGACAGGCGGTTTTTATTTTTCTCGCGGCTTCGCCGCTCATTCTCGCGCACTTCGCGCGCGAATTTCGCGGCCTCGCCGCTAGTGCGCCAGGCTCGACAAAACCGCCATGGGGCCTCGCCGCTAGTGCGCCAGGCTCGACAAAACCGCCATGCTACGCAGGCTATCGCAACGTGAGTTTGGGGCGCCTGTGGTCTAAGGCCGTTAAAACGGCATTCGCCGGGTTGGCCATGCGAAAACTAAATTGGCATCACCTCCTTCTTGTGAGTGTTCTAATTGTCTTGGTGTTCGTTTATTGGCAGATGGCTGGCGATGGCGCTCTTGAGGAAATTGGAGGTGTTTTCTTTCGAAAAACGTCGACATCTTGTCCAAAAAAGCCCTACGTGGCGAATGTAAGCTTAAGTGACTTGGTGTCCACATTTCGCTACAAGCATCCCCACGACTCTCGTATCGTCGCTAAAAATGAATTCAGACTCGGAGAAAGAGCGATGAAAACTGCTATTCAGCTAATCGATGATCTTGTACTGGAGTACAACAGAAGACCTATTGAGATGGAGTGTGTTTCGCGGCTACCAACGCTGGTGCTTGTCACTGCTGTTTCAAGCAACCACTTCAATGAACTTCTAGAACATATCACTCCCGGTGACAAGATACGACCTCACAAAAAAATAGTCGTTTATGACCTAGGACTGAATCAGCAGGAAATTGATCAACTCACCAAGATGTCTTATGTCGACTACAGAAAATTCAAGTTTTCTCGCTTTCCCGAACACGTGAAAAATCTACGTACGTATGCATTTAAACCTCTTATCATCGTAGAGACGCTTGCTCAATTTGGCGCTGTAATGTGGATGGATTCTTCAGTAATCCTCAAACAGCACAGCAAATATGCCCACCTTCTAGAGTGGATGATCAAGCGGAAATCAGCGTTTTTGTACTACGTTTCACCAAGTCGCCATTCTATCGTGTTTGCTACTCATGAACGCATGCTCGACTATTTACCAATGCGGGGAGCGAAAGAATCGAACGCAAAAATGCAACAAGCAACCGGAATGATTTTATTTAACACAGAGCACGTGCTAAAGCATGTAATGAAATGGGTCGTTTTCTGCTCGCTTCTTGAAGACTGTATCACACCTAAGGGATCTCAATTAGAGTGTAATTTTCATTTGCCCGATGATGTATTTGGAGGATGCCACCGTTACGATCAATCGTTGTTTGCAGTTCTTGTATCCAATGCTTATAAAGATGAAATGCGAAGGTATTGTTTAAGCAGAGACAGTGCGGGAATGTACCCTGCAATCGTACAAAGGGCAGAGGAAAACAGTGTTTAGATTGCTGTTGATGTTAGTCGCCTGTGCAGCGGTAAGCTGTGAGGCAAGGGTCTGGGTACTACTAAAAAGACAACACAAGGAGGACATTATCCAGCGAACGTTAGCCATTATCCCGTGGCATTCATTTGCTGCAAGCAAGGAACAAATTATTTTTTCTCACGATCGTTTTCTGTTTTAATTTTCTTCCCCCGCGAACAAATATCTGTATAATTTGAATATATTTTCCACCTCCATGACTAGCAGATTTCTTGACTTGGTAAGAAAATAGCATCACAACCCCAGATGATAGCACTGACATTATTTTTAGACTAATATTATCGGTTCTCCCCTTCAGTTTAATATCAAGTTGTGTAATTCATCCTCAGCTATGGCCGTTATTTTTCCTGCCCAGTTTCAAGGCTAGATGATCTGTTTTCACTATAAAAGTTTGGATTTGTTGCCCGGGTGGGATTTGTTGGAGTACATTGGTATTCTTCTTCTCAACACCTTTTTGTTATTGAGCTATCTCCAGTATTAGGCATTACAGTTGGACAGTTTGTGAAAACTAAATCCCGGGAAAATTTAAAATATAATAAAATTGTCTTTATTTTTTTCTTGCACACTAGTACTACTGTTTTAAGGTCAGTACACACATGCGTAAGAGGTTCCAGGACACCCTTCCACAAGGGGATTTCATTGATGACTGCTGCTTAAAAGCTATTAGTATTTTAGGATCTTTTTAATATTTTTATTTCATTTTAAATCGAAATGAATTGTTTTTAATTGAAATGAGTTTTTTTTTTAATCGAAATGAACAGCTGCTTATGAACTGAAATGACTTGTAAATAGTGCTTTGACTGAATTTTTTTTTCTTCTTCAGCGAAATTAATTGTAAATAGGTTTTAATAGTTAGTTTTGTTATTGTACTACTGTGCAATGAAGAATAAGTATGAGAAAAAAAATTCACTGCCTAGCATATATTTGTGCTTGATAATAACAGCTTTTTGTAACGAAATGGTCTCTGAAAACTACCCATGCAAGACAGACTAAGGAACGTAAAAGAAACTAAACCTTCAGTACTCTTGCATTGAAACCAGACATAATATTCCTAGGAGATTAAACCTGCAGATACAACCAGGTGAGGATAAACCTTTATCCTCTCTTGATACAACATAAAACATGTACAACATAAAAATTCAAAAGTATACTGCAAACAAGAAATACAGAATTATGCACAAATAAAATAGAAATGAACTGTAGGAGCTAATAGGGAGCTTAAGCAAAAACGTTCTTGAGCGACGCACGTCAACCGGAAGTGGCCTTTTTTCATTTTTTGACGGTGGTTTCACGCAAATTTTCAGTCAAATCGCCTCTATAACAGTAAAGAAGCTAAGGAATACAAATTTTATATCATCAAGGCATGTTAAGAGGGAAAATACCTCACTTCCGGTTGACGTGCGTCGCTCAAAAACGTCGCTGCTTAAGCTCCCTATTAACCCTTTAAACCCTATGATCAAAATTTGAATTCTCATTTGTTGTCCCTATTCATTTCCTACAGAAGTAGTGGTGAGAGGTTGATAAAATATCAAGCAAATTCATCATATGTGATCAGGTCTGTAATTCTCATGACCACAAAGCACTGATATTACAAGGAGAAATTTGATGCTGATCACTCTTAGGGCTTAAAGGGTTAAACCATTGAAAACAAACAAACTTCTTAGTGTGACCAGTACCCCTAGCACACTTGAATAATTTATGTCCAGTATGATTCAATTTTATTCCTGGTTAAATTCATTAACTTAAGCGAGGCTTAATCAAACTCGATTCAAAAATACTTTCCTCCTTGTAAGTACTTTAGGAGCTGGTCATTTACTACCTGTGAGGGGGGTGGGGGGCAGCCATTTTGCTGGGGGGTCATTTTCAGAAAAGGGAGTGTTACCTGGGGGGTCATTTTTTGAGAAGTGGTATAAAGAAATATTTTCCCCTTACTGCAGTGAAGAAATCGGTGTAAGGTATACAGTGAAACCTGCATTAAGCGGATTCTGTATTAAGCGGACACACTCTACTAAGCAGACAGTAGCCTAAGTCCCCAAATTTATTTCCCTTATTTACTTTAAATGAAACCTTTATTAAGCAGACACCTCTATTAAGCAGACATGGACTACTAAAAAGTACCTGAAATGGTAATTTCTATTGTTGCCAACCTGTATTAAACCGACACTTGCAATATTAAATTCCACCACCCAACATGCCAGACACCGGAAATGCGAAAGATCACAGGTAATTAGCGACCAGCCCCTTATACAATATTAAGAGAGGAAATAATCAAAGAAATATTGTAACCAAAGTGAAATAAATGTATATAGTAGTACAATCAAAAGATAAGGCACCTCCAGGAAATCAGGTTGGTCCCAACTATTCTTCAGTCATTTTTTTTACTCTCTATAAGAGTTACACC